CCATAAAGAGGTGGACTTCTGTTTTCTTTTGAATGCTGGAGGATGCCCTGAATTAGTGTCATGCATTTCCATGGTGCTGGTGGTTCGCTCGTCTGAACCATGGAAATGATTGATACTATGAAAATTTGAATGCACCTCTGACAAAGCCAGAAGGCACCCCTGGGTGCCAGGGCACCCTGGTCGAGAAAGGCTTTTCTAGACACTGTAGAGTCGCTGTCTGCTGTGGGGGCCAGTGCTCTGAAACACTGGAAGCCCTGGTAAGACAGAGCATCTAATGTAAGATTTTTGCTACCCTGAAGATGTCTCACTTTAATTCAAATAGAACATGAAGTGTATCAACTTAATCACTGGGGGTGACTTTGATGATACACAGTACACTGCATGCAAATCCCTTTGTTGTCATTCTTCAGTAAGATCCTCTAGTAGCTGAACTGCTTGCCCCAAAGCACCACAGCCTCAAGAAGAGAAAGAGCTCTAAAACAATATTCTTAGGGATACCCGCTTGAGACCAGGAATCAGACCAAACCTCTGCACAGCAATGGCCAGCACAGAACCGAAACTAACAGACCCAGCTACTTCTGTAAATAAATAAACTGCTTATCCAAACCAAATTCTTCCTGCCACATTATGCCATCATTAGAAGCAGAAATAAACGTGCCAAACCCACCAGTCCTCTTGTACTTCACTAATGAGGCAAAAAAAGTAAATAAAAACCTGAGATGAAAAGTGCCAACCACCTAGGAAAAAACTCTGCTCATGGCCATAATCCATGACGCAAATGGCAACAAGCCCAATAAACACCAAATGCTACGGACAGTAGTCTTGTTTCTTTTGTATAATAAACATAAGGTTGTTCAGGAGGTTCGAGATACTTGTCGCACAGAAATCAAAGCCCTTCATGAGGATTTTCAACATCTCACTCACCGTGTTGAAGTCGCCGAAGATTACATTCAATCGGCTAAATTGGAATTGGATAACCTTCATGCTCAAGTGATCTCTCAAAGCTCCACCATCTGTGAGATGCAGCGTCATCTTGAAGATCTTGATAATAGGGGCCGCAGGAATAACATCAGACTTAGGGGCCTTCCTGAAGCGACTGGTCCTGAGGACTTAAAAGACACTTTACAAGCTTTCTTCAACCTCATCTTCGGAGAACATTCCTCTCACAAAATTTGTGACGACACGGTGATGAGTTTATAAGTTAAATGTGTATTGGTGTTGAGTTATGTTTGAGTGCATTATGCTGTGTGACCTGGTTATGGAAAGAGTATCAGCACCATCCCTCGTTATCTCCCATTGTACTCTGAAGGAGCTCAGAACAATGACATGCTGGCCAGGCTCCTGCTATGGCTGTCTGGAGTTCGTTAGCAGGTGGACACCTGTGGTGTTGAGCAGACCGATTGTCTGGGAGGAGGGGAGGGTGGATGTGATGGGATTATATTCTGATTTCATCATTTGCTGTATAAAAGTTTGTGCAGTTGCTCAATAAAGCAGAGTTTGTTTCACCTACACTCAAGCCTTGGCTAGTGACTGGGGAAACTGGGAGACACAATGCCAATGCTGATGGACTATCCCGCCAAACAGAACTGGAAGGGTGACTAACAGCATGGGCATCCCCAAGTGGACCCGTAGAGGGTCTCACCGGGTCTGCCATCTTTTAACTTGGGGGAGCTATGTGACGACACGGTGATGAGTTTATAAGTTAAATGTGTATTGGTGTTGAGTTATGTTTGAGTGCGTTATGCTGTGTGACCTGGTTATGGAAAGAGTATCAGCACCATCCCTCGTTATCTCCCATTGTACTCTGAAGGAGCTCAGAACAATGACATGCTGGCCAGGCTCCTGCTATGGCTGTCTGGAGTTCGTTAGCAGGTGGACACCTGTGGTGTTGAGCAGACCGATTGTCTGGGGGGAGGGGAGGGTGGATGTGATGGGATTATATTCTGATTTCATCATTTGCTGTATAAAAGTTTGTGCAGTTGCTCAATAAAGCAGAGTTTGTTTCACCTACACTCAAGCCTTGGCTAGTGACTGGGGAAACTGGGAGCTAAGGATCTTCAGGTTGCAAGATCTCCTCAGCAAGGAAGAAGACAGCGGCGGACATACTCATCCTGAGTACGGGGGTCCGTCACAAAATTGATCAAGCTAATGGAGCTTTACAACTTCAAGGCTCTTTTTTGCAACCCAGAGATTTGATTTGTAGAATGAATTCCTATTCTTTGAAGGAGGACATTATGCGAAAGGCGCGTAACATACACAATATGGAATTTGATGGAAAACCAATTCAGCTTTACCCAGATTTACCTTGGCTCATGCTCCAAGAACGTAGACTTTTACAACCTTTGCTAACTACTGATGATATTTTATTATGCCCTATGTAGTTATAATTTTACTTCTCCATGTTAGCCGTCCACCCTTCTTCTCTCTGCTATCTATTTTACGCAGATTCTGAGGGAGAGCTGTTACCACTTCTGGATTGCATTCAACCACCTTCCACTCCAGTTACATGGTCCTAAAATAATTTGTTCACGATTTCTATTTTAGCTCTGGTGCTCTCCGGTAGTTCTGGACGAGTGCTTTCGAACCATGGCCGAGTTCGGTCTGTGTTTCTTGGCTCTAGTGAGCCTCAAGCTTGCAGTTTTCCTTCTTAACTTGTTTTTTATATTGGTTTTGTTTGCTGTTTCTTCATGGTTCCTAGTCATGCTCACCTCTGCTTCCAGTCTTTTCCTTCCCTCTTCCATGCCTCCACTGCGTGGGCCTCCTTTCACCATATTACACATATGGGCCTCCCTGGATTCTGCCTTGATCATTTTCTTCTCCACTCGAATGTAACATGGTCGGTAAGTCTCCCCATTTTTGTACTGATAAGATCCTGAATGTTTATTTCTGCCTTCCCACCTCCATGTCTCAATGCCCCCCCCCCCAAGCATTATAAAATTATCTGGCTATCATTTTTTAATCTGCATGTCCTTTTAAGCCGTCTAATGTCTTTATACACCCAGGGGTTAGGTACATTATTCTTCACGGCACCTATGGTTCTGAGTTTGTAACCTTTATGCCCCTAATAGGAATCAGATCCCCTTTTTGAAAATGATTTTTTTTAAACTATCCTCTTTGCTCCACCAATATTTGGTCATCAGTGGTGATTTCAACCTACCTTCATCTCCAATTCTTGATAGATTGCGACATGATGGGGGTCTCTGTTCTTGGGCACAATATGGCTTGCCCACCAATTTTAACACTTACTTAAACGACATGCGCTGTTTGATGTCTGGAGAACTCTGAAACCTTCCAATAAGCAGTTCACCTTTTAATCCTCAGTTAACGAAACCCATACCAGAATAGACTGTTTCCTACTTAATGCCACAGCTTTACTTAACACTGTCTCTTCAGGGATTGGCCCTATTACTTGGTCTGATCATGCTCCCATAGACTTGTCAATCCGATTATTTCCTCCTCCCTCTAAGCAATGCAATTGGCGTCTGAATGAATGGCTTCCTAAAAATTAAATGACAAGGTCCCAACTTGAGACTTCCCTGCATGATTATTTTTCTCTTAACGAAGGCACTGTCAGCTCATCTAGTACTCTTAGGGAAGCACATAAAGCCGTTATATGAGGCCATTGTATTGCTTTGTTTTCTAAACTTAAAGGAGAACTATGAGATGAGTGATTTCCACTCACCTCATAGTTCTAGCCGACCTGTGACAATGAGACTGTCATAGGTCGGCTCAGTAGATCGAGAGGTGAGCGAACACATACCAGGTTCGCTCACCTTCCGATCCTGTCACGGCTCTCCGCGCTGACTGGCGGAAAGGACGGGGGAGGGGGCGGGTACAGCTGGCTCTGCCTCTAGATAGGCAGAGCCAGCTGTCACTCACGCAGCAGGGCGGATCCCGTCATCTACGCCGGGGTTCCGCTCCGGCTGCCGCGTCTCAGTATACCGCGAGCTGTAGCTCGTGGTATACTGAGCTTAGGGTAACGGGAGGACGCTAGTTTGTGTCCTCCCGTTACCCTAAGGAGAACTATGGGGAAATACACTGACCCCATAGTTCTCCTTTAAGCAAGACTCTCAGTTTCAGCGTGAGCAGCTTGTTTCTCAACTTAAATCTCTGGAGAAGCAGTTACTATTTAAATCTTGCTTATCTACTATTTGGTCATTTCACTTGACTCCAGTCCCAATTACAGCAGTTGTCCATGGTGGAGGTGGAGAAGTCTATGGTCTATGTTAAGCAGAAGTTTTACGAAAAAGGCAATAAAGTTCACACTCTGTTAGCTGGCAAACTGAGCAAACTGAGCGTATTTTGCCCATACCATTGTTTGGACAGAAGAACGTAGCAGCTGCAGATTTCAGCTGTCCCAAATAAAGGCATATGTTATCCTGTATTTGTGCCTGTGTGCATGAACCCTTAAAGCAGAACTGCAGCCAAAACTTTTCAGCTTTTGGAAAGAGTACGGGAGAGTTATAACACCTGTCAGCTTTTTTGGTTGTCTGTGTTCCATTGGGGAGATTTCCTTTCACTTCCTGTCCGATAGCCACAACAGGAAGTGAAAGAAAATCCTTCCAAAGGGAGGGAAACCCCTGGTGGTCAGCAGGCTCGCAATTGGCACATTTGCCATCTATTCCTATTCTGGTGACAACCCAAAATTTGGGATTTTCAATCACTTCCAGTGATAATGGTGACTAGGACAAATATAGGGGGAAATCTTCCTAAGGGGTCACAGACAGCAATTAAAACCTGACAGATGTTTTAATTCCTCTCCACTCTATCCCCCCAAAAAACAACAGAGTTTTGGCTTCAGTTGCAATTCTAAGCATGTGCAGCACACAGCCTGAAACACTGCTGTCATGTCATCGCCCTCCGAGCCTCTAGGTGGCGCTGGGCCTCAGCGAAGCCTGCAGCCGCCGTATTGTTTTGGTATGGTAAAGAACACACCGTGTTTTAAACGTAGAAGGTGCAGATCACGTGACGTGCTCGGTTGTTCCTGCTGGTTGGTCGGCTGGAGTTCCTGTTTGTTTGGGCGGCGATTGTTCGGTGTGCTCCGTTCACTTACAGGCGAGTGACAGCGGCGGGGGGTAAATGGGAGGGGTGTCCGCCGCCGCGCCGGAGGTAAATATAAGGACAGGGGAGCGGGTGTGAGAATACAAGCGGCAGCAGTATGGCCGGACGCGGAGGATTGTGGGACTTGTAGTCCTGCAGTGTAAAGATGATATTTGTGTACCTCACCCATAGGCTCTCCCTGCACCCTGTACTTGTAGAGCCACTGCTGTGTGAGCCCCATTACCTCTCCGGCAGTGAGCAGGATTGATTAATGAAGTAATTTATGATCAATGACACCAATACACATGACAAAACTCCCATAAAGACTAACAATTTCGCCATGACGTCAGGGGACAATGTGTTGCTTAACTGGGACAGGCAATCTCTATGCCGACAAAGCATGGAGCTTCTATATGTCTACAACTCATGGTATATTTGTGTGATCTGTACATTGTAGATATAAAGAACAATAGAATACAAAATGACATATGATGGGCTCATGCACTGGGGTGTTCAGTATTCTGTGTTCAGATCTGAACGCAGCTGCAGTATTACATCCTATGGGGCCCATTCACACAACTCCATATTGGTTTGCAGCATTTAGCTACATCAACCAAAACTAGAAATATCAGCATTTGTGGTCCAATCTGTACCATTTGTAAATAACGATCACAAACGTACATCGTGAATGTCCCATAGGTCACTGCTCAGGGCCAACATGTAAAAACATCAGTACAGTAGTGTTATCAATGGAGCAGAACGACCTCAAGGCGTTAGCCCATTGTGAATGAGTACAGCCCGGGGGTCATTCTGAGCCACTGCCGCTATTATTGTTTACATGTGAGTCCTGAGTGCGCAGAATGACCTAGACCTTTACTCCTTTACCCTTTACTTTACCTATGCGTCCATGGATGGAAGGTGGTTATTGTATATTTAATAAGAAACCGGTTAAAGGGTTAAAGGCGTTCTAACAATGTCTCATGTTTGGTCTGTTAAATATACAATTGTAAGTGTCTTCTTATATCTCTTTGATAAGTGCAAACAATACCTAATGATCCTGCCAGAAATTTGTCAGCTGATAACTTTGCCTGTGCTGACTTCTTCTTAGTTCTATTGTTCTCAGTTAGAATATTTCGCCTCGCCTCTTGTTCTGGTGAAAACAGGTTTTGGATTTCCTCAAGCTTTCAGCCATGGCATAGTGATCACACGCTGACTAAAGGCTCATTCACAAAATATGAGCCTTTGGCTTGCAGATGTTAATGCAGCCGGAAGATGTCACTGAGCATCTATTTAACGCTGTAATCAGGGCTGGGCAAATCCCAGGAACCAGGTAGCCAAAGCTCTTTAAAAATGACAGCTGGCCCCATAACTTTATGGTTCCCTGGTTGTTATCAATGGAAAAAAGATAATCCTGCTGGCTCTTGAAGTGGACAGACTGGCTCCTGAATTCCATATTATCTTTCCACTCCTTAGGACTAGTTCACACCAGGCGTGGAGCATAGCAGTTAGGCTGGGTTCACACCTAGGCGTATCGAATATGCGCGTTTGTTGCGCGTTGTTACCACGATTCGTGGTAATAAATGCGCGACAAACGCGCGTTTCCGAGGGCTACCTGGCTGTATCCCAATGGATACACGTGGCAAATATGCCCCAAAGAAGCTCCTGTACTTCCTTGTGCGTAGGGCGTTTTGCAGCGCGTTCCTATGTGCTGTAAAACGCCCAGGTGGGAACCATGCCCATAGGAAATCATTGGTTTTCACATGTTGAGCGTTTTACAGAGCTTAGGAACGAGCTGCAAAACGCCCAGGTGTGAACCAGGCCTAACAGAAAGGATCAAAACTGCATCCATTGTATTCCAATGGTATTTTGGGCTCTAGTTCACACCGGAGTGTTCAGTTCCAGAGCATATAGAAAAACTGCAGCATGCCTATTCGTTCTGCTCTGGAACGCACCAAAACTCATGCAAATGCATCAAAAACACAAGCAAATGCCCTGGAACACACAAAGCCCATTTTGGGTTAAACCGGGCAAAAACACTCTGGGTAAAATGTGCAGAAACTCAAGCACATCTGGTCTGGATTTGGTGTGAACAAGCCCTAACTGTAATTGTCAGGTACAATTACAGTGCGGGAAAAAAGGGAAAACTTTTTTTTCTACCTAATACCCGAGCAGGATTATTAACACAATCTACCATATAAAAACCTTATATATCCTTGTACAAAATGTACACAAATGACACAAATAATTATAGTCCAATGAAATGACACATTCAAATGCTGCTAAATGTAGCTTGATCATTTAGGCTTCAATGATGGTTAAGCTGAATCATTTAAAAGAGAACTATGGGGTAAGTGTTTTTCCCCATAGTTCTCCTAAGGGTCACTGGAGGACATAACCTAGCGTCCTCCCGTGACCCAAAGCTCAGTATATCACGAGCTACAGCTCACGTTATACTGAGCCCGCCGCAGCCTGGACGGATCCCAACATTACTGTTGAGATCCACCCAACTGCGTGAGTGACAGCGGGCTCTGCCTATGTATGCCTACCTGAGGCAGAGCCAGCTGTACCCGCTTCCTCCCCCGTCCGTTCCTCCAGTCAGCGCTGGAGAATCGGAGCGGGGTAATCCCTGCGGGAGCGGTGACTGACAGTCACGGCTCTCTGCAGGGAGATGATCGAGAAGTGAGCGAGCGACGGTACGTGTTCGCTCACTTCCCGATCCATTGAGACGACGTGTGACAGTTTCATTGTCACAGGTCGGCTCCAACTATGAGTATGAGTGATTTTCACTCACCTCATAGTTCTCCTTTTAAATACAGTGGAATAAGGTCACAATCCTGGCTATGCATTCTGGCAGGTTTGAAGAGATTACAAGACTAGGTGAACAGAAAGAAAAGTGTTTTTGCAAATAACACTGCTCAGGCATACTGTATGTACTTCATTTAGTATATTTTGCCATATGCCAGGATTTCAACTTTTACATGCAAAATCTTGGCCGACATTAGAATCTCTGTATATATAGATATATTTATATTTATCTTAATCTCTATTTTAAGATCCATGTTTTGGCACAAGATCCTATGAGAACTATGGAGATTTTTAAACTATAGTTAAAACTTTTCAACATACTTTGTTTTGGTTTTTTTAATTGTCATATTTGGTGCAAAAAGTATCCGTCTGACATAAACCCTTTGCAGCTGTTTGAACAAGGGTCACATTTTCTGTTGGTAATTTTCACAGGAGACCTTGGCTGCAAGCTGTTGTTCACTGATAAGAGAGTTGATGTTCGTGTGCAATGTGAGAATTTGAGGCAGAGCTGCATTTCATATGCCCGGTAAGTAATTTGCATAACATTTAACTGCTGGATTTTCCACAGAAAGAACTTCCTGTGCTGATTTTTTTAAAATGTTTTATGTGGCGAAGGCTGCCATTTTCTTCTCTTGATAAATGAATGGTAAGATATGATCTTTCTCTTTTGTTCCCTCAACAAACATTTCTCTGTATTGATATTTATTGGACATTTGTAGAAAGGAGTTGCTTGGGGTTGTGCAGAAGCTCCAAAATGCAGACTAATGATTTTCAGCACAAATCCTGGGTATACTAAAGGCCTAGATATAAGATACATCTGTGTTATTGGGCAGTAGGTACAGTCATATGATGACTGTGTCTGACAAAGTGTGCAATCAGCTTGTGACCTCTTAGGCCTTGTTCACACCAAATGCAGAGCAGATCTGCATGAGTTTCTGCACACGCAGTGCAGTGGGGTCTGTGCCGCGTTTTTGATGCGTTCCGGGCCATTTGTTGTTTTTTTTTAGTTTAACATGGGCTTCCAGGGAGTTTGCATGCGTTCCAGAGCAGGTAAAATAGGGCCTGCTGCAGTTTTTTTACCTGCTCTGGAACTGAATGCTGCAATGTGAACTGGCGCTAAAAATACCATTGGAATACTTTGGACGCAGTTTTGCTCCGGTCTGTAACTGCTCTGCTCTGCTCCTGAACAATTTAAAGTGTATTTCCATATTTGCAGCCAAATTGGGATAACACCGACTTTTTATAGTTCATCAAGGCATAGGAATAAAGCATTGCCCCTCCATGGCTTTATCAGGGGATAGACAGCCGAGGATTCTCGCCGGCAGGAGTGTGTCTTCACTCCAGCCAAACAGGTATATAGTAAAGGAAGAATCCAGCCGCACTGCGTTGTACACTAAATCAGTTTATTCAAAGTTCATCAGTCCTGCCCAACGTCCGCCCCCTTCTTATCTCACCCAATCCTGGGCTCTATGACTATACACCCACTTTATATTTGTTACATGCTTCCATTCACATCGTATAACTATGTATTTTAAAATAGCTGATCTTTTTATTTGCTAAGAAATCTTATTTGGCTTTCCCCTTCTATATGTTAATAAGGGGGCTGGGGAGTTGTGTTTACCATATTTACCCTGGTCTATACTGTGCTGGCAGATCTTCATTATTAGTTGTAAATTAGATGTGCACTTGGTCTGTCATAAAAAGACTTAAAGGAGAACTATGAGGTGAGTGATTTTCACTTATCCTCATAGTTCGAGCCGACGTGTGACAATGAAACTATCACACGTCGGCTCAATAGATCGGGAAGTGAGCGCACACATACCGTCGCTCGCTCACTTCTCAATCATGTCCCTGCAGAGAGCCGTGACTGTCACTCACGGCTCCCTGCAGGGATTGCCCCCTTCCCCGATCCGCCAGCGCTGACTGGTGGAACGGACGGGGGAGGGGGCGGGTACAGCTGGTGCTTCCTTTAGATAGGCAGAGTCAGCTGTCAATCACGCAGCTGGGTGGATTTCGACAGTAATGTCGGGATTCGTCCCGGCTGCGGTGGTCTCAGTATAACGCGAGCTGTAGCTTGCGATATACTGAGCTTTGGAAAGGATTGTCAACAGCACACCAAAAGTTTTCTGAGCCTGATGAAGGGGTACTGCTGAGACCCCGAAAGCGCTTGTATTGGATGGCGATTTGTCAATAAAGGACCTTTTTTGCTTCAAAACTTTTGGTGTGCTGGTGACAATCCTTTCTAGATCTGCATTGTTCACGGGGCCTTCCGTGGTCACTACAAGCACCCACCTGCTCGGCAGGTTTACTACTATTCCGGGAAGGAGTGCAGCTGGTTCTTGACTATATGTAATACTGAGCTTTGGGTCACGGGAGGACGCTAGTTTATGTCCTTCCGTGACCCTTAGGAGAACTATGGGGAAAAACACTTACCCCATAGTTCTCCTTTAAGGATCTCAAGGCTTGTGTGACACATTGTCCCTCAGTCTGTCCCCTGTAGACTTCTTGGTATAAACCTGTTTCAAAAAAACAACTAGAAAGATAAGACATATTTAAAAAATATATTTGTAGTTATGCAGTGTAAATGGGAACACATAACAGACATATAGTAGGGGTTTTACCAAATTTGATTGCAAAGGTGTAAATACACTTTGAGTATTCCATCACTACCTTGATATTCAGTTCTGGTGCAAAATGTCTGGATCTTTTTAATATTTCCACATTGTTTAAATATGTACAAGTTATACCTCTAAACCTGATCCTGTTTCTTTTTCCTCTGGATATTACATATCCAGCATTCTATTCATTGCTTATGACAAGACAATAAGATTTGCCATGATGTAAGGGAGTTTTTTTCTGGTATTTTCTAACAGTGGTCAAGCTCTTGAATTTTATTTCCAGCAAATGATTTCTTAACATGCATGTATTTGGATAAAATAATTAAATGCTTATTATTTTCATGTTTTTTTTTTTTTTTTTTTTCCAGCCATCATTAATTAAAATGGAATTTAAATAAGGCAGGCTATGATTGGATGGTTTTAGTTTGGACATGCCTAGAAAAAGAAAGAGTTTTTATCTGTAAGTCCTCAAAAGAAAACTTCAAGCCCCAGCATCCCTGTGGCCCTTTCATCTTCTGCTACGCATCCTCTTTCAACAAAAAAAATGAGCAATAAGAAGAAGGAGATGCTCAGGAGTATGTGTGAGATGTTCCCCAACCTGGAACCTTCCTTGGTAGAAATGGTGCTCTCTGAATATACTGAAAGTAAGTTTTCTATCATGCATATACACTAAGTGGCGAGATTATTATGACCACCCCATCAGTACTTCGTTGGGCCACGTGATGACTCCACGAGATGACTTCGTTGGGCCTACTCGTGACTCCACGAGATGTTGAAAGGTGATGCGAGGAATCTGACACTGCACTGTTGCCCTTCTGTTGTCTTGTACCAGTCTTGCCACTCTCCGTTCTGCCCTAACATTGACTAATGGCCACAATTCGCACTTTCAGTCACAGATTTTCGGCTGACAGTCCAGTCTTTAAACACTTTAACAACAGCTGCTCTTGAACATTTAATGAATTCTGCTGTTTTGCTGATAATCGCTCCATGGCTTGAGCGCCAACAATCATCCCACGTTCAAAGGCTGTTAAATCGCGTTGTTTACCCATATCTTCAGAAAAAAATTACTTCTACTGTCGTGGTAAACAACCTGCTTCCCTATTTATAATGGTCTGGCCCTCTAGCAACTTCAGCGCGAAATTATAGCTAATTTTGCCTACAAACGTCAGGTGGTCATATTACTCTTCCTATTGGATTTTTTTATTTGAGGTACATTATTATAGTTGGGGCACAAGAAGTAATACGTCTTCTTGTGTAAAGAGAAGCAAGACTCTGTGTTGTTGATCTGATTTTCTAGCAGGGAGATTGTACTTTTGGAGTCACCAAGAGTCATAAAAAGTCAGTGGGCAGTTGAGCTTACCAGCTTTTTCAATGATACATGTATTGGTTTATTCCTTGTCCATTGAGGAACACAAGAGGTCTTAAACTTTAGGGTTATACTGCCGCCTACAGGAAGATTGGACACTGGCAAATAAAAAAAGCAGGACAACACAGAATAACCACCATGCCTCCTACTACCAGCATGCCAAAGTATGGTCCACGGGATTGGGAATCCACCCCACCCTGCTTAAGAAGATTCCCAGTGAAATCGGCCCCACAACATGTTTTATTCATTACAGGGACTTGCTGGCTTCATCTTAAAATTAATATTTACTAAATCATGGAGCCACACACCTTCCACCACTTTACCAGACAACATATTCCATTTTAGACCCTTGTTGGCTTTTTATAGGTGTATGTGTTCCTGTTGCAGATGTTCCCCTCACTTCCTGTCTGGTAAAACTGTTATCCCTGGCAAAGTAAGTGAAGGGAAATCTCTCTAATGGAGCCCCATATAGCAGTAGAAACCTGACAGAGGTTCATATCCCCCGGCAGGCAATTATAATGCAACATGGCTCAAAATCTAAATAGCCAACTTACAAAGCTCCAAATATTAGCCAGTGACCAGGGTGCTCACTATAAACCTGACATGATCCGAGTCATTAAGGTAAATCGTAAGTACAAAATAAATTATTCAGTGCTGACCATTCCAACAAATTATATAGAAAATGTATTTGCTATCAAGAAATAAGTAAAACTAAAATGTTTATATCTAAATCTGGAATGCGAGAATCTATCAAATCCATCACACAAGACTCATGTTAACAAAATAGCTTATAACAAGCTGATCGCTAATATATATTTATCTAAAGTCTCCTTCAAAAGACCATACATTCCATTTCAAGGGACGTTGTTGTGATAGAAGTATGGGAGGATTCCTTTGCTGGCATCCTGCTAAAAAGTATAGATGCCTCGATGTGCCTGACTTCATTAAGTTTCATTCACAGTCCCAGGGCAAGCATTCTGTAAATGAGTGTAAGAAAAGTGTCGGAGCTACTTATCTCAAGTCAGTGACTCAACATTGAAGTGAAAGCATCAGAAATGCAGGCCAGGAAACTAGCATTCTTAGTGGAGAGTTCAGTAATTGCAACCTCCATTAATCTCTCATCGCAGTGTCCCTTTAAAGTGCGCCTGTCATGACAGAAATAGGTAGACTGCTCTGCTGACCTCTCCTTTTAGCAATGCCCATTGCCTGGCTGTTGTGCTAATGCTTTGGCTTCAACACTTTCTAAATTACAGACCTGACCGATAAGATGCTTCTTCTAGATCCGTCACTTAAGTGTAACAGATAGCTAGCATTTTCTTAAAGAAGAACTCTGGTCAAGTTCAGAATTATTGAAATAAATGCTCATTTTGGTCTAGGGTATACAATAAAAAGTACTCACCTGATCCACGAACTTGCCTGGCTGCTAGACTGGTCCTCTCAGCCTCTTCTCCCCCAGGCTAAAGTGGCCTAAGCCCCACTGACGTCCTCACATTTACAAGTCCATTGACTTGGATTGGACATGTGGACGAAGAGGGACATACCACACCTGGAGTGGAGGGGCAAAGAGGTGAGTGGTCACCGCCGCAGGATTGAGGATCAGGTAAGCATATCCTCCTTTTTTTTTTTTTTTTCTAATTTTAAAAGACCCTAGACCAAAAACCAGCACTTAATTCTTGCAGTGTGGGGGTAGCCCCACAGCAAGGGTTAATTTGTAATTTGCCTTGAGTTCTTCTTTACCTTTTTATTATGACAGGTGTCTTTTAAGTGTAAGGGACAGCTACTTTTTACAGGGTGTTAGTATTAGTAAACAACCTAAAAAAAAAGTGTGTTCTCATTAAGTGCCATTTACATCATAATTGATCTTTAATTAAAAGCCTAAAACATGCAAGGTTAAACATTTCTGATTATTTAGGATTTCCAGAAGGGGACAAATACCTTCCATTGCACAGTAATTTGAGGCTACACATTAGCTGATTTTTCTTGAGTGCAAGAAAAGTAAATGGAAGCATTGAATGGTTGTTTTAGTAAATCACTGGATGCTCTGCTGTACAGAATTACTGGTCACCTTGAACCCTCCAACTTCCTGCCCCCCCACTTCCCTCCCTCACTGCTACTCCATCACTATGATGGGAGTTTTCACTTACCAATAGTGAAGTGTGGGAGTAAGCAGGGCTAAAATGAGTGAGGATATTTGCATATCAGGCGACTTGGACAATCTAAAGGAATACCTCATCTGCATATTTGTTCCAGGAACCTAGAAAGTATTAACTCTACTGGATCAGCATGATGGCCAAGCAATTAGCATTTTTAGAAAGATAGGTCAGCAATGGCTGCCTTCATGCCTCCATCTTTCTCTTACTATAGGTTTACTCTAGACGTCCAACCAACCTGTCTGATCTCCTTTCTATTTTTCGTAATGGTATTACTCAATAGGTCTGCATTGTTTTGTCTAGGGTAGGGGTTGTAATTGGAAATGTTTGCCATATATCCCAGGTCCTAGGTTAGAACAATTGGATTCCCTCACATCCTATAAGTTTTATACATTGCATTCATGGCCTTACCTGTTTTTGTTCTGTACATGTTGCGATATGCCACATCAATGCACATGTTGAAATAGCATGCAATTGGAAATGTTTCATCCTCCGGCCACCCTATCGATGTGCTGTACTCTTACAAGCACAAATTGGATGTTTTTGGAATCTATAGAAACCATGGCTGGCTGTACAATGAAATTAATTGTTCAATAAAGTGATCCTAAGGGGCCAAGAGAACAATGCTAAAGTAGGGGCCAGTTAGAAGCCCTTGGATTTTAGGCTCAGACTGCACGCAGGACCTCAAGATTAAGCCACTGCTCCTGCTATCAATGCCCACCCAAACTTATTGAACTGCCGGTAGAGGTTTTGGAATTGGACAGTTTAATGACAGGTAGGAACTTCGCATGCAAGGAGAAGGGGCCTTGTGTAGAACCTGTGCCTACGAATCAACGGGGCTGTAAACTTGGGGATTTGGTTTAAAGACTTAACACATGTATTTGAAGGCACCACATCACATGGTGCCTGTACTATTGCGCCTATTTAAATAAGTTCAGGTTCTCCTTAAATTGCAAAATGGCCCTTGTAGTAGCCATGTGTTTAGCTTTTATGGCTTAAAAATTAATTTGCAAATTGACTTTGTGGTATGCTGTCATATTTACCTTTTAATATTTCTTTTGTTTTATAACTAGTTGAGGTGGTGATGGACTATCTATTGGAGCTCTCAACAGTTGCTAAAGGGGAGTCTCAACTGGAGTTGACAGGTTTTGAAAAGATTACAGCTTATTTGGATGGCTTCCACATTAATTCACATAATCCAGAAAATGAGGACACTGTAACTGACAAAGAAGACGACTACCTAGATGACTCATGCATAGATGAGCCTGCTTGCAATGACCTGGATATGTTGTTAGATGAAGCACTGGATAGGTATGGCTTAACGAATCCAGAAGACATTTATAGCACAGTGCAATCTGAGAGCTTAGTATCGGAAGCATCAACCAGTGGTATTGTGTCACAGCAGGTTCAGTCTGCATCACCTGGGAATACCTCATTCCACACAAAGTATATGGAAACCATTACTCCGCCTCAGATGAGCCTGGCTACGGCAGAGGATTTGCATTTGTGTGATTCACCGCATGCTGTTACCATCTCTAGTACATCATCAGTTCAGCCCGAAGTAACTAAGCTGGAAATGACAGAAGCTGGTTTTAAGACTTTACCAGAACCAATTGACATTTTGTTTCAGAATGATAAGATTGGAACTTCAAGTTCCCAAGGACATTTTGCAAGCAGTGAAATACCTGCTGTTCAGAAACTTGAACAAGAGAACATTCAGTCAGTATTAACGGCAAAGTCCAATGTACCAAGAGCTTCTCCAAAGTCACAGATTAAATGGAATCCATTGGCATCGACATTCTTTCCATCGTCCAATCAACAAGGCTCATTCATCACTCCAGTAGTTGCTAAACCTGTGCAATGGCCATATGCTGCTACAATACAACCTAACGGAATCCTTTATAATGCTCAGGTGCCCTCTGCATGTGTCTGGAATCCATTTCCTCAAACACATTGGACTGCTGTGAAGCCCATGCACGTGCCTAAACCCAAACCACAGCTTAGTGCCCAGATCCCCAAAAACATGACACGTTTGGTAGGAAAAGTGCTAATACTGTTGAGAGGTGCCCCAGGATCTGGGAAATCTACTATGGCAAGGTAAAGACCATCTTTCTATCTTAACTGAGAAAATACAAAGGAATCTGTTTGAATACTTGGCAACAACATGAGTAGAAAAGAATATTTTGATAATCTAGATGCAACCTGAACTGAACCCATTCTTTCCCATTCTGGGGAAAGTAAGGGCATCACTTGAATGCTGGCCCCTGGAGCAGCTTAAACTAATTTTCCCTTTGCTCTTCTGTTCTGTTTAGCCACCAGGAGGGGAGAGAAATACCCAGTACTTTCAGGTATGGAAAGTATGTGCCTTAGTTTCCTCTCATGTGACATCACTGGTGCTTGGCAATTTTTGTGTTTAGGCAACATGTGCTGTCACATGGAGGATGTGCCCAGGCCTGTGTTTCTGAGAAATTGTCAGCCATAACTCTGTATAAGCTCCAATCAGAACAACTTGGGAGCTTAGACAGGGCTTCTTTTACTCATTCACACAGGCGACCTTATGGGCGGGGAAACCAGTAGAAGCCAGGATAAGCTGCTACATGGGCCAGAATTAAAGTGTTGCCTTGTCCTGCATCAGCAAGAATATTTACTTTGAAAAATTAGGTAAGTTCTGCTGTGCTTTGATTTGGGGTGCCCCATTTTTATTTAGCCTATAAAACTTCTAAATCAGGTAAAGTAAAAGGTTTGTAAAAAGATAAGGTTATCTGACATTGACATTGGACAGATTTAAAGTACTAACTCATGACAAGAGTTCAACTAATACAAGGAAGGAAAAAAAATAAAGAACAAATAGAAATCCTACATAAACAGAACCCTATGCCTACAGTTACCCACAGTTGGTGCAGAGGAAGGCAAAAAGCCTTTATAAAGCATGGTTCATCTTCACTGAAAAATAAATTGGGGTGTTTACAATTTAAAGCCACTCTCTGAATGAGGCAGAAAGCAAAGTAGAAACATTTTTACCTTGCAGCATGCCATCCACCGCAATGAACGCTAACTTTCAGGGCCTGAAGAGAGGGATGTTATCCGATCCATATAGCGATCCGATTGCATCACCCGCCCTTTCACTATTCTCCAATCAGAAAATGTCTTCTATTTTCCAAAGAATACAAGACATTCTGTGATTGGAGGAGGAGAGGTGATGTCACATCCCTGTCTCCTCCTCTCCTGCAGTTACAGAATGTCTGTTTGCAGCATAGTCGGGGCTTGAAAATTCCACTCATCCTCTCGTCTGTGACAAGAGGACGCCGGAGCCGGACGAGTAGCTTCCTGGCTGCCCGTTGTAATTAAACGGCCGGCCAGGAGCTTTACATTCAAGCGATTGGGCATCTCTAGAGACGCCCGATCGCTTGTTGTAGCAGCAGCTGTCACTGCCGTTGCCAGTCCCGAGATCGGCTGTGCCCGGTGCTATGTCACAGGAGATCAAAGGGAAAACGGTACACGATCTCACTCTGATCTCCGGTCCACTAATGCAGGAAGTGATGTATATTATATCACTTCCGAATTCTGCTGTCATTCCCAGCTACAGAAGCTGGGGAAGCAGATCTGTGCTTCATCAGCTTCTCTGGTGGTCCCTAGGTGACAGCGGTCTTGGAGACCCCTGATGTCTCCATAAAGAGGACCTGTCATGTAAATTGGCTATCACATAGGGGGCTTCTTAGCCCCCTATGTGACGGAAATAAAGTTAAGTATAAAAAAAGAGTAATAAATTAAAGCAGCATAAAAAAAAAATTAAAACACTTTTTTTTTAATTAAGTCCCCCGCCCCCCACATACACACCCAAACATGCATCGGGTGCGCCTACATGCGAAAGCGACTATGGTGCCGCACATGTTACATATCGCCGCGAACGTCGCAGGGAGAGCAATCAATTTAGTGCCATTAATCACTGATTACACTAAACTGAGGAGCAGTAAAAGCGTTTAAAGCGTCGCCTATGGCCAATTTTCGGTGTGGTCGGTTTTTTTGCGATTTTGCAGACACGTGCAATTTTAAGGCTTGACATGGTTGGTGCCTATTTACGTGCCCCGACGTGACCCCCGTCTTTTTATATTTTACCAAAAATATGGGTAGGAATACATGTTTTTTAACGTAATGTAGGGAGAATATTTTTTTCCCCCGCAATTGACGGTACTTTTTTTCATTACCATATTTTTGGCTACCTAAGACACACTCACCCCCCCCCCCCCCCCAAAAGGCGGTGGAAAATGTGTGTGCGTTTAATGGAGCGAATCCCTATTGCCCGACGAGACATGCAGTTTCGGGCGCCGGGCGTAGATTATTGTACATTTAGCCCTGCTAAAGCAGAGCTAAGTGTACAGTAGGAGCCACTGCTCGTTTAATACGAGTGCTCTAATCAGATCACTCGTATTAAAACCGAGCAGCGGCGGCGATCGAGATCACCATAGAGCCCTTAGAGCAGACGAAGAACAGACGTTCTTCGTCTGCTCTGTGTGATCACTGAGACCGTGGCTCTGTAATCACAGCGCCACCTGTCTCAGCGGTCACTAACTGCAGCTTCTGTCACAGAAGCGCCTGTCTGTTCAGTGCTCCATAAGGCGTATATATAGACGTATATGCTGGTGGAGGGCGCGGGTCACCAGTTGGTGACCGCTGTTTAAGAGGACATAGGACTATATATTTATATCACATATAACGCCTCACTCAGTATGAATAACATATAAAAAAAAAAGGAAAAAAACTTAAAGAAAACACTTTTTCCCCAGTTTTTATTATTATTTTTTAGAAAAACAGCACAACTAAAAAAACGCATTAAAATAAATTAATGTATTTGTCCTTTATTTGGAAATACCTTGCATCCCTAGGATTTCAAAAATGTTTCTGTACTTCTCGGCCTACAACTAAAAGCTAACATTTAATTTTTTTTCTCTAAAAATGAATGGTGGTTGGGTTAGGTTGCCTACAATGTCACTGTCATTAAGTGACACTAACTGAACTCACTGAAGGCTGAAGGACAGCTTGATAATTGTATTAATTTGTAAAAAAAAATTTGGTTATTGTTAGGCTGCTCCAAACTTAGTAACAGCCAATAATAACCTTAGTTATACTGATCCTGATAGCATGTCAGGTTCAGATCTCACTAAGGCCCCTCTCACACCTAAGCTGTTTGTCGCTCGTAAATCAGTGCGACAAACAGCTCAACACTAGGAATCCTATTTATGTCTATGTCCCCAGCGCACATGTCAGCGTTTTGTCGCAAGCAGAAATAGGCCTGTCACACAAAATACTACATGAGCTACCTTGGGGCTGATTTCAACGCGTTTTCTCTAACGGGCGCAATAGAAAACGCTTGAAATACACGTGATTATTTGCGTGCATATTATGCATGTTTTGCTCCTTGACACGAATGTGCCAAAATCTGCTGACTAAAACGCTAAAAAAGACACACTGAATAGGTGTCGCTTAGGTGTGAATCCAACCTAAAGGCTACTGATCATTGCCAGACGATCAGAAGCCTTGAAACATTGTTTCAGCATAGAAATGTATTGTTACATATTCTGTGCTGAAGAATGTAACAAGCAGCCTGTACACATCAGGAAGTCCCATCTCTACAGAGCTGTCAAAACTGAAATAGCCCAGCGGTGTGCACACTGTTCTGCTCTCTGCTGTTATACCGGATCGCTAATAGTCATCAGGTATTTGTAACAGCTTAATTCTTTCATTATTGTCAGAAATTTAGAGCTGTCCTGTGCACCAGATATATAACCAAACACTTTTAATTATGTGTTTAACAGATCAAAATGGAAGTAAATGGAGAAGTTTATTGTTGGGGTTTACCTTAGTACAACTAAAGGCCCCTGTGTGATGTGGCAGCCTTACGTTTAAAAAACAAAACAAACCTCATTTACCTTCCCTGAGTGAGCCAAATCATTTTTCATTTGTATCCTCACATGCTCCCCCCTCCCAGACACTGCAGCTCATAGGAGTGTTTTAGCAGTAGAGGCAGTGCATTCGTTCCAGGAAGCAGTGGGAAGAGCTCAGTGTGAACGGCTGCTCATAGTCAAGCTACAGGTTTTGAATCAGCAGTGACAAGGCTGATAGCCACTGATAGCCCTGTAACAGCTTCTCATCTCTAATACAAATAGGCATGGCCTGAGTGAGGGTGACAATGCTGCTCTGAATTCTGGAGCAGTGCAGCAGCGTTGTCACCCAATCACAGAAAGCTGAACAAGGTAGACTTCACATTCAGGTATTTGTGGGACTTTGCAGGGGGGCTATTTGGAAAACTGCAAGTTCCGCAGAGCGCGCGCGCGCACACACACACACACAATTTTTTTTAATTTTATTTATTTATTTATTTATTTATTTAGGTCACAAAAGGGTTTATTGAGGAATAGAGAAAACTATAACAAACCATATAGATCAGGGTCATACAATAAAGTGCAATAAATTGGTGGTTTAAAATCACATGAAGATAACATCAATAAAAGCATAAACCAAGATCCATCAGAAGAGTGTGGGGCGTAATAAGGATCTAATAACAAGAATAAAAGTGTTATCCAACAAGGGGGAATCCGAATGCTGGTAGAGCTTATGTAGAGATCCATGGTAAAGTAAAGGAAACAAAGGCTGCGTAAGAGAAGAGATAAAGAGCAGGGAAACAGAGAAGTGGTAAAAGAATAGGGAAAAAGTGAAAGGAGAGAGAAAGGTAAGAGCAAGAGTCAGAGAAAAGAAACTGAAAGACTAAAACAATAAGAGGAAAGAATAGAAAGTAAAATGTCCTCGGGGAAGAGCATCAAATAGGATCAGAGAGAGAGAGCAAAGATACATCTATGTCCAGGGAGCTGATAATAGGAAATCCAGGGTCAACAAAAACTTTGCATGCGTGTCCTGACAATATTGCCTATTTTTAACTGCTGCATAGCTCAAGGTTGGAGTCTTCCATGCTCTAGCTGTGTTAGTATCCAGAAAAATATGTTGAACAAGCTTCCATTCAGTAACGTCTTGTGTGCGTTCTTAGGTAAGGTCGTGTAAAGGAGTGCTCATATGAGATTGTAAACATGTACCCAAAGTCTAGT